CCCCCCCCTCCCCCTTACACCACCCAGACATGTCGCCACTTGTGTTGCAGGTGCTGGTGGAGCTGCCGGGGAACGGCTGGGGCGGCATGCGGCTCATGTACGCCGCCGTGGCGCGCGCCAAGTCGTGGGATGGCTTGGCGTTCTGGGGTGGAGTGGTGCCGCGGGTCCTCCACGAAGAGTATTGAAGAAGAACGTGTTTTGATTGATGTTGCGATTGCATGATTATTGTCCTACTCTGAGATAAATAAGAAACCAGAGTTTATGTTCGTTTTCTCACATGGTTCCCCAATCCCGGTTTTCCAATAAACTGTTGCTACCCTGCACCGCGCCGTCATGTGTCGCTCTTCCCCTTGATCCCAGCATGATCTACGGTGTCTCGCCACACACTCTGACGGGATCGACGACGCCCCGCGAAGGCTTTACGTCGCTTTGCGTCACGTTGCCGAGGTTTAGCATTCCCTGGGTATCGAGAGCGCTGATAGTGGTGAGCAAGGACCTCCCCTCGTGCAGGACGGGCCAGGTGCACGCCGCATTCGGCCGGCAGCCCCGTGCGGAGCAGTAGTGCGGAGCACCAGGACGCACCCGGGACGCACGCGACAGGACACCGACGGGACTAGAGGTGAGAAGCGGGCCGCGGGCCCGCGCGCGGCCAAGGGAAAGGGCGGAGGTCATCGTGATCCTGGAGAGTCAACTTGATTTAGCCCGGTGGTCGCCGAGTAGTGTGCAGGTCAGGTCTTTGGGAAAGTTGTTGGACCACGAAAAAATTGAGAAAACTCCGAAATGGTTTCCTGACTTTGGGTCCTTGAGAGAAGTGTTTACGTATTGGAGTCCTTGAGAGCAGTGTGTAATTGAAGTCGCCAGTAATTTACATCTGTTGCCACTTATTGGCCGCTCCCCTTAACGCCCCTCCCTCTGTCCTCTGACGGTACAGTCACGGCCATTGTCTGTGTGCAATAATTATCAGTCGAGTACTTTGCACTGATTGGAAATCAGGGTGATCCGATTCAATCGACGTCATCAGCGGGGGACGCGTCCATTTTTTCAATCAAAATTGACAGTTTAGTCCACCTGCGCTGTTGTTGTTGTTGCCACTGGCTCCCTCGAGTCCGCACTCCAAGTCCAGCGCACACGTGCGCCCAGCAGGAAAACGTGAGCATGAGCATGCCGTCGATTAGTACAGGTCAACTAACATAAGTGTGGCTCTGATTTATCTGCAAGATTTTTTTTTTAACCACTTCATTCAACGATGGGTGACGCTAAGCCTCGGGCTAATCGCTGGCCATGAGTAAAAGAGCAGTTGAACAAAAGAACGTGTTCCAAAGGTCACAGCCTCAATATGACATATATGACAATGTAAGGCACGGCTGACGTGTGACTGGTTAATCCCAGTGTAATTGATATGTCTCGACGGGGACGGTGGGTGTAGTGGGTGGTGTATCAGCCGCCGTCAGCCGCACGTCAGCACACTCCTCCTGTTGCAGCCATGGTGCCACCTCTGATGGCTCGTCCCTGCCTCCTGGTGCTGGCCCTGGGGTTGCTGCTGGCGGCCGCCTCACCGCTGCCGGCGCCACGACGCGACCTCCCCGTCGAGGCCGGCAGCCGCCAGGCCTCGTTCGGCAGGAGCGGCACCGTGGGCATGGCCGCCCCGGTGCTCCCCCGGACCCGCGGGCCGGCGCGCCGGCAACAGGCCGCCGAGAGGACCGCGCCAGGCCCGGCCACGGCCACGGCCGACCCTGCGGACACCAACCCCTACCGGCTACCGCTGAACCTGCGACCCACCACCTATAACGTGCGTACTCACTAGTCCCGTGACCAAGGGGTAATTCACATTAAATTCAAGCCTCAAGCGTAACTCCAATTTTTTCTTAATTTTTTCTGGCTGTTAAAAGAGATTTTTACCTTTCTTTCTGTTTGTAGTTTGATTGTTAAAATTGATTAATCTCGAATTTTTCACAATTTTTTCCGGGTTTTTTTCCTGAATTTTTAGAAGGTGTAGTACACTGATTTGTTTTGAATGGAATTTCCCTCGCCGCACTGCCTGGCCTGCTCAAGCATTGGGCTCCAGCGATCTTTCAGGAGCAATAACGAACGTTTGGCATTGCTTCGGCAGATTATCCTGACCCCCAAGCTGTCGGGAGACTTCACGTTTACCGGCCAGGCACAGATATTCTTCAACGCGCTCGAGTCCACGGATAAGATCGTCCTGCACGCCAAGGACCTGGACCTGGGCGACGCTTTCGAAAACATCAACTTGAATATCATGGACGACGAGGGTGATCCGATATCCTTCTGCAACATCAAGTCGATGGAGATCAACAAAACAACGGAGATCGTCACCCTCGTCGCGGAGAAGACGCTGGAGGCGGGCTCGCGGTTCTCCATCGAGTTTATGGCCTTCACGGGCAAACTGAACGATGACTTGGACGGCTTTTACCGCTCCTCCTACGTAGACAGCGCGACCGGCGAGAAGAGGTGAGCAATCGGAAATCGTGGTATCCTGACATTATCCCGTAGTGTTTCCGAGCCATTATGCTCATCCCTGCCATCGGCCACCAGGTGGCTCGCCACCACGCAGTTCGAGCCCACGGGCGCCCGGCGCGCCTTCCCCTGCTGGGACGAGCCCAGCTTCAAGGCGCGCTTCAACATCATGATCAACCGCGACCCCAAGCTCACCGCCCTCTCCAATATGCCGCTCACCAAGTCCGGACCCAGGTGAGGAGCGTGAGGAGCGTGGCTTAGCGGTATGTGAGGCACAGGCCTGCGCGCGTGTCTGACGGAAGGGGCCGTCCTCTGTTCTGAGCAGTGAGTTCGAGCCGGGCTACGTCATGGACACGTTCGACACCACCCTGCCCATGTCGACGTACCTGGTGGCGTTCATCGTGTCCGACTTCAGCAGCGTGACCAACGCCGAGAAGAACTTCACGACCTGGTCGCGCAAGGACATCCTGGCCGGCAGCGACCTGAGCCAGGACGTGGGCCCCAAGGCCCTCAAGCTGCTGGCCGAGTTCAACGGCGTGCCCTACTCGCTCACCAAGATGGACCAGGCCGCCATCCCGGACTTCGCGGCCGGCGCCATGGAGAACTGGGGGCTGGTCACGTACAAGTGAGTGGTGCTTTGGGCGCCGTCACTGCCACCGCCATGTCGCCGTCGCCGTGCTGACTAACCTGTCCGCCGTCCCGCAGGGAGTCGTACCTCATCGAGTCGGCCTCCTCGACCGTGCAGCAGGTGGAGAGGATCGCCACCGCCATCTGCCACGAGTTCGGCCACCAGTGGACAGGTGACCTGGTCACCCTGGACTGGTGGGAGCACACGTGGCTCAACGAGGGCTTCGCGTCGTTCTACGAGAACTTCATCTGCGCCGAGATCCACCCCGAGTGGAACCTGGAGGACAAGATGCTGCCCGCCTTCCTGCACGAGGCCATGGAGAGTGACGTGCGGCCCGACCAGGTCGCCATGAGCGCGCCCGTCGAACGCAACGACCAGATCGAGGACCGCTTCGGCGTCATCTCGTACGAAAAGGGTACGTAAGTTGTAGCGGTTGTCGTGCAGTGCTCGTGCCGTTCTGTCCGGGGCAGCTTGAGGACAAACTCTTTGACCGCAGGTGGCTCTGTGCTGCGCATGTTCTACCACGTCATCACCCCGGAAGTGTTCAAGAAGGGCATGCAGCGGTATCTCTCTATCAAGTGCGTTGGTGCCGCCCCTTCCGCGTTCTGCAGCTACAACTTCCTCGTCGATAAAACCGGACTGAACTATACTTTAACTCTTGGCCCACAGCATGTTCAAGAACACGAAGCCGGAACATTTCTTCAAGGCAATGGACTTCGTAATCCAACAGTCCGGCCTCCATCAAATCCCGAAAGGCGTCAGCTTCGGGGACGTCGCCTCGACGTGGACGGAGCAGCCCGGCTTCCCCGTCCTCAACGCCATCCGCGACTACGCCGCAGGCACGGTGTCCTTCACGCAGCAGCGCTTCCTGTACTCCGCTCCCAGATCAGACGACGCAAACGACGTGAGCCAGGAGTACTACATCCCCCTTGTGGTCACCTCCCAGGCCAAGAAGGACTTCAAGAGCGGCGTGCCTGAGGGCTGGTTGGACCCCGGCGTTTCCAGCTCCGAGCTTCCGACGAACGCGGCCGAGAATCAGTGGGTGATCGTTAACCCTGAGCAGACCGGTAAGCAGTGCCCCCAGGTGGCCGCAGCACCCTCTTCGTCCGCACACCCCTGAGTGGTCCTGAGCCCCTGAGATAAACACGCGGCTTCTTCTAGGCTACTTCCGCGTCAACTACGACGAGCAGAACTGGCGCCTACTGGCCGCGGCGCTGGCCGCGAGCCGGTCCGACTTCCCGCCGGCGACGCGCGCGCAGCTCCTCAACGACGCCACCGCGCTGGCCCACGCCGGCCAGCTGGACTACTCGCTCGCCCTGTCCATCTTCGAGGCCTTCAAGGGAGAGCGCGACGTCGCCCCCTGGCAGACGGCCATCGCCGCGTACCAGTACCTGTACTTCAGGCTGGGCACGACTGACGCATTCGCCGGCCTCCAGGTGCGCGCGGGTACAGGCCAGGCGGGGCCGGGGTGAACACCTCGATGAACACCTAGGGACGTGAACACCCCGGTGAACACCTCGATGAACACCTAGGGACGTGAACACCCCGGTGAACACCTCGGTGAACACCTCGGTGAACACCCTGGTGAACACACCCTGACGCGTCCCTCTCCACCGCAGAGCATGCTGCAGCGCATCACCCAGGACGCGTACGCGGAGGTGGGCTACACGGCGCAGGCCTCAGACCAGCACGAGACGAAGTTCCTCCGCCTCCTCATGACGAGCTACGCCTGCCACGCGGACAACGCCCACTGCCTCGCCGACGCCGCCGACGCCCTCAAGACCTGGCTCGTGGACCCCGTCAACAGAAAGTGAGATAACACGCCACGCATCCACGTGTTGCTCGTTTTCCCGAGTAGCGCGCTTTTTTTTCACGGTCTCCTCGTGGTGATTAGAACGCAACCGACCTTGAATAAGGACCACGGGGGCTTTACCCCGATCATGTTGTCTGTTAATTAATTCTAGAGACGGACAACTTTAGGTGGCAAAACTGCGGCAAATAAATTCTGGAAGTAAGCGTTGCAGTCAATAGTCAATGACGAAATCATAACTTTTTAATGATATCACCAACTCTAGGCTGCAGTCCGACACCAGGGCGACGACCCTCTGCTACGGTGTCCGTGGCTCCGATAAAGACACCTTCGAGGCCGTGAGGAAGCTGTGGCAGGCGGCCACGCCAGCCGACCGCTCTCAGTATATCTCGGCCCTCGGCTGCTCCAAGGACCCCGCGCTTCTCACGAGGTGAGTGGGGCCCTGCTCCCTGCATCAAGTGCTACGCGCTTTCTCCCCCCCCCCTCCTCCCTCACTCAGCGGCTCTATTTCCCGTTTTCAGCCTTCTCTCGGACGCCATAACCGACAAGTACACCTTTGACGATGGCGTAGACATCTTTAACAACCTCTTCAACCGCCTCGAGAATCACAAGGTGTTCGTGGACTTCATGAAGGCCAACGCGGATGCGGTTGCCAAGAAGTAAGCGCCATCTCGTTACTCTTCGACACGATTTTCCAGATTCAAAAAGAATAATTCGGATTGTTTTCCAGGTTTAATAACGACTTTGACGTGCAAGTCATTAGTGAACTGATCAAGGACATCAGGTCAAGGGAGGAGATTTGCGAGGTAGAATTGGTTTGATTGCTTCAAAAGTTCTCTACAAATTGAATTGTGTCATGTTGGAGAGCTGATATTGTTACTTTCTGTCCTCAGTACCGCGTGTGGGTCGAGGCGAAGTACATGAATGACGTCGCCAAGTGGAGGACATTAAACGCGGCCTTCGATGCGGCCGAGAGAGAACTAAACTCCTGGTACGACAAGTTCTACCCCACCGTGTCCGCTTGGCTTGCAACCGATACCCCCACCGACTCCACCTCCTCCACCCCCGTAAACCCCACTAACCCCACCAGCCCCAACTCCACCCC